ATATTTCTTCAAGGCTCTGTCCATTTTCTTCATTCTTTTTTCTCTCTGTTCTTCAACTTGTGTAATATCTATTAATCTAGCTTCAAGTTGGCTAATGTTTTTTTTTTGCCAGTTCAAAGCTACTGCTGAGCTCCTCTAGTGTATTTATTTCAGTTACGGTACTTTTCAAATCTATAGTTTCTATTAGATTTTCTAAATAATTTCTCTTTATTGATATTCTGGTGATGCACAACACTGACATCACACGTTCCTTTATTTCATGTTTTGGTTTTTTTTTTTTTTGTTCTGTGAACATCTTTATAATGGCTAGTTACTTTGAAATCTTTTTCTGCTAAATCCAATATCTGGCTGCTTTCATAGGCAATGTCTATTGTCTGCTTTTTTTCAGTGTATGGGTCACACTTTTAAGTTTCTTTGCATGCTACATACTTTCTTGTTGGAAACTTAACATCTTGGATGATATATTATAGTAACCCTGGGTACTGGTCCCCCCATTTCTGGGGCTTGTATTATTTGTTTGTTTAGTGACTGGCTAGATTATTTCAGTGAAGTCTGTCTCTTAAGGCTCTGATGTTGTTCCTTAGGGAGACGCAGCTTCGAACATGCTCATAGTTACCCAGTGATGGCAGTGATAATGGTAGGATTCTCTTCCTTACTTTTCTTGATGATACCCAGATATTAAATTCTACTAACCGATTGCTCTAGATTTTCACCAATGCCCTGGGATGAACTCCTCTACAAAGGAATCCAATCTAATTGTAGCTCTTTGTTAGAATAGTTTCTGAGGTCATGTTTGATATTTGTTCTGACTCCAGGAGAACTCCTACTTGTCTTATCTCCTGGGTCTCTCCAGAGAGCCAGCTAACCTACAACTATCTTCACTAGATGGACAAATCCCCCCATTGCCTTTTACCACAACTTCCAGGGTTTTTTGGGAAGTGCCCTCAGGTTTAAACTTCTCCTGATTTTGTTGAAAATGAAATCAGTTACTTTGGGAAGAGATTAGGAGCTGTTTTATTGCCTGCTTCTTTCCCAGGCAAAAATCTTTATACTGTGGCTCTGAAGCTGAAGGTGGAAAAAAGGGCAAGCTTCTTCTGAGTGACACCTCACTCAAGGAAGTGAGCAGTTGTTAGAAGAAGGGCAATTGTGTAAAGTCCTCTCAGTTTGCATTTGCTGGCAAAGAATCACTACTCCAAAACCTAGGTAAAGATTACTCTGGCCTGTGTTTTCAGTCTGCTAATGAGTATGGGTTGGGCATGATATGGGAGCCCTCATCTCTTGACCTCACTTACCTGGGAGTTTGCCTCAGCAACTCAGGGCACTATGAGAAATGCTGAGAGGTCCTGCTCCTCCGGGGAAGAGTGCTCTCCAGCTGGAGCTAGGGGAGAGAGTGCTCTGTGTTCTTGTGTATTGCAGCCTAGAATGGAACCTCCACTTCACTAAGCTGGGAGGGGATGTAAAGGGGAACAATCTTGGTTTAAATGCCAGAGGCTAGCTTTTCTTACCAAATTTTCATAGAGTTTCTTAAATACATGTTACTTTATTTGCTGTTTGTGTCTAGGACCATTTTCCAACTCCAACTTAAATGAACTCATTCTCTGGAGTTTCACCACTACTTTGAGCTGCCCTCCTGTCTCACCAGCTTTTTCTATCTTAGTCTCCTTTGCAGGCTGTCCATTCCTTTGTCCTATCTATAAATGTTGGAGTGCCTATCATGAGCCAAGATTCTTTTTTCTCTCCTTATACATATTCCCTATGTAATCTCTTCCAATTCCAATAATTAAAAAAAATGTATATGACGATTCCCAAATACACATTTCTAGCCCTGACTCATACTCAATTACCTTTTCAACAACTCTATTTGCATTTTCAATTCAGCAGTTTCAAAAGAAAAATCATAATTCAACACAATGCTTTGAGAGAATCAAAGTCTTCTACCAACTAGTCATATGCTTGATTCCCCCTTTCTTCTAAAACCTACACTATCAGGAAGTTCTATTGGCTTGCCCTCTATATATCTTAACTCAAGATACATCTTGAATCAATCTGACCAATTCTTACCATCTCAGCTGCTCACCCTAGTTCAAGTCATTATCATCTTTTGTCTGGATAAAGAAAATAGCTTCCGTTTCCTATTTCCTCACCTCTGTGTTTACCTCTCGTAATTGTCCAAATAGAAGCCAGAATGCTAATTTTAAAATGTTTATCAGTTCATATTATTCCACTAAAGTCAATGGTTTCCAACTACAGTGGGGGAAACTCCAAACCCTTTATCATGGCCTCTAAAGTACTCCATAATCTCACATTTCCTTTCTCTCTGATTCAATCTTAAACCCTTTTTTTCCTTCATTTACTATGTTCCAGTTGCACCAGCTTCTTTCTGTTCCTTAAACCTTCCTATCTTAAGTATCTCAAGAATCTATTTGCTGTTCCTACTTGAAATCTCCCATGGTTGACTGCTTTACATTATTTAGATCTCAGGTCAAATGTTACCTACGCACAGACACCTTCTCTGGTCACCCTAAATAACAAAGGCAATGCTATCACATTATTTTGTTTTATTTGCTCCATACAATCACCACAATCAAAAATTGAGCTTGAGTACTGAATGCTAAAATGCTAACCTGGCTATTCATGGTTTGACTTTTTTGATTCTTCTAGGACCTTGCTCCATTTATTCTCTTTTCTTTCTTGCAACTCCTAGCTCTGTTTGTCTCCACTGGCTATTTCTTACTACAAACACTCTTAACTCTCTATCATTAAAAACACAAAAATAAACTTTCCTTTGATTCAGTTAATATGTCAAATTCATGTTTTATTTTCTCAAAAGAAAAATTTCTCAAAAAAATTTTTAAATCTCTTATGTTTGTCTCCTTACACCCCCATGATTTTCTGACTCCTTGGAAGACAGGTCCTACACTTCCTTGTCCTCAACAACCACTTTCTGAATTCAACTCCAAAGACTGACATTGATTTCCTATAAGTGGTTTCTCCACTCTAATTTCTCTTCCTCTATTGAATTTATTGCCCCCCCCTTTTGTAACACAAGTGACATATATTCATTTTAAATAAAAGCAAAAACTACAAAATAAGAATTCTATCTCCTGGAGATAAACCACTATTATCATTCGCTTTGCATATTTTTATATCTTTTTCAGCACATGCATATGGATTTAAAAACAAAACTAAGCCAGAAATAGAATGATACTGTATATGCTATTTTACATATACTTTAAAAATGTAATATATCATTAAATCTTTGTAGATCAACAGATACAGTTTCTGTCCTCTTGTCTCCTATTAGGACTTATCCAATCTCCCTGTTTATCATAAAATAATTATTGAAAAGACAAATTGATCTCATTCTAACATTCTAGTCTATAGTGGCCAATTATTCTGACAGTCAAAACTTTTTTTTGAGACAGGGTCTTGCTATGTTGTCTAGATTGGTCTCAAACTCCTGGGCTTAAGCACTCCTCCCAAGTAGCTGTGACTACAAGTGTGTACCACTCCACCTGGCACTAGTCAGAACTTCTATATGCTATATTTTGTCAGTCAGAACTTCTAAGTACAGTGCACACAAATTCAACTACAAGCAATTAGAAAAGAAATTAAAAGAGAAACAAATACAAATCTATCCAAAATTTTTCTTTCAATGTAGGTGATAAGAAACTGCTGCTGCTCTAGCTAGCCTTGTCACAATAAATATGAATCTAGTGTTTAAAGAAAGTTGTGAAAACCAATCCTTAATATTATACTCAAGGGATTTTCTGTTTTTAAATAGAAATTTGAAAGGCTGTTTCAATTTTGGAGAAAAAGGTGACTGGGTTGAACTTAATGAGATTACGAAGTATATTGGTTTCTGACGTGGCTCCTAAATATGGCTATGTTAACTCTACTTTATGGGTACTCTAAGGATTTTCAGGAATATTTTTGCATATACAGTAGGTCCTCCATTTCTGCAAGATCCACATCCAAGGAGTCAGCCAACCAAAGATCAAAAACCTAGTTAGGCCTACAATGATTGTATTGGTACTGAAACACGTACAGATATTTTTTTCTTATCATTATTCTCTAAACAACACAGTATAGCAACTCCTTACTGAAGTCCCCTACATACAACCAATTTTCCATTCCAAGAGTGCATTCATGAGTTCAATTGTTGGTAAGTCCAACAAAGTTAGTCTAGCTACCCAACTAACACAAAGTACTATACTGTAATACTTTTCACACAAATAATACATAAAACACAAACAAAAACATAAAGACAACATTTAAAATCTTATAGTACAGCACATAACAATGTATGCCAGACATGTGAACTAACTTATGTGAATGGACATGAAATGCACATTCACATTTTTGAAAGTTCACAACTTGAAAGTTCATATGTAGAGGACTTACCATTCACAGAATTTATATCGTATTACGTATTATAAATAATCTAGAGATGATCTAAAGCATATAGGAGGACATGCATAGGTTATATTAAAATACTATGCCATTTTATATAAGAAACTTGAACTTCCTAATGAAACCTATAGTTTCCTATAGATACCAGAGGATATCTGTACTCTGCTTTTCCTAATACACTGGTTGAAATCCTATCCTAGCATAAGATTTTTCTCCTCTATAGCTTCTGAATACACAAGGTTCCTTCTACATCATGCTTATGCCAGTGGTGGTCCATCAATAATGATACTATTGATGTAATTATAAGTATATTATTGATTAAAATACAACAACCACATATGCATATCTCTTAGCTTGTGATCACTCTATTTAGTGTTATACTTTCAAACCAACTCTTGTAGGTACCAGAATTCTCAACTAAGGGTGAGGTTTGACTTCTTCAATTAACAGTTTTGCAGTCTTTTAAAGTACACAAATAAACAACAATCATTACCTATATTTAGAGTTAAGCATTTTCCCAATTTCTAATGTGTAATAAAAACAAGACAAAAGCCCTTAACAAGTTAGATCAAATTAAACAAACATACTCATAATCTGGCTTCTGGAGGGTGAATATATCTTGTGTGTCATCTTCTACATGTGGTAGGTCACCATAGAAGTCTGTAGTTCCACTTGCATTAAAATTCCCCTGGATATTCTGACTGGATTGTTGAAGACGCTTCCATAAATCATTATAAAGATGCAATAATTTAGGGTATTCTCCTTCAAATGCCTGCTTCAAAAACATAGAAGCTGCCAAGAAAAACAAGAACATGAATCAGATAAACAATAAAACAATAAAATGGAGCAAATAAATGTTTCTTTTGCATTTGAAGATAATGTTACAAATCACCTACATGACAGGACAAACCAAAACATGTTCCAATGAGGCCTTTTATAATAATGCTAGTAAAAGTAATTTTTCTCCCAGATTATTCACTGCATTTGATATGTATGTCATATATTTTGAAACTTAATCTACATTAAAAAAATAGAAAAATTTCACAATTGTAGTTGAAGATTTCTATTCCCACTGTCAAGAATTAATAAAATAAGTGCACAGAAAAACAGAATACAGAAAACTAAACAGCACTAAGACTAACTGACTTAATTTACATTCATATAATACTTCATCCAAATTAGCAAATACACATTCTTTTCAAGTGCACATAAAATATTCATCAAGAGCAACAATATTTGGTTCCATAAAACAGGTCTGAATACATTTTTTAAAAAGCCCTTCAAGTCATACAAAGCAAGTTCTCTAACTAAAATAGTTTTAGATGAAAAATCAGTAACAAAAAGATATCTGAAAAAATACTTAAATATTGGGAACTATAAAATGTTTTCATGACCTTTTAAGACAAGGGTAATGGGGGGGTGGAGGAAGCTTCTAAATAACCCAAGGGTCAAAAAAAAAAATCAAAAAGGAAATTATAAATAGTATTCTAACTGAAAATTATAACACAACCTATCAAAATGTATGGAATGTCACTAAGGGAGTACTTGAGGGAAATTTATATAAATCCTTACATTTGAAAAGAGGAAAACGTTCTAATCAATGACATAAACTTCTATTTTAATAACACTGAAGGCTGGGCATGGTAGCTTATTCCTGTAATCCCAGTACTTTAGGAGGCTGAGGCAGGTAGACTGCTTAAATCAGGAGTTCAAGACCAGCCTGGGAAACATAGCAAAAGCTTATCTCTACAAAAAAACAAAAAATTAGCTGGGCATGGTGGTACTCCCAGCTACTCGGTAGGCTAAGGTAGAAGAATTGCCTGAGCCCAGGAAGTCAAGGCTGTCGCGAGCCATGCTTGTCATGATCATGCCACTGTACTTTAGCCTGGGCGACAGAGTGAGATCTCTCCCACTCCCTAAAAAAGGACACTGAAAAAGAGGGTCAAATAAAACCCGAAGTAAACAGAAGAAAGAAAATAATAAAGATCTAAACAGATATCAATCAAATAAAAAACAAAAACAAAAGGGAAACATTGAAACCCAAAACTGATTCTTTGAGAAGATAAGTAAAATTCATAAACTTTTAGTAGAATGAATTAGGAAACAAAGAGGAGAAACAAATTAGCCAATTAAGAGATGTGCCCTTATTACAAATTACATAATATTCTACAGATACTAACAGGATAATAAAGAAATTACAAGTAACTTTATGCTAAAAAATTTGAAAACTTTCATGTAACGTATAAATTCCTTGAAAGACCCAAACTACCACAGTTTAGTCAAGAGGCAATAGATACTTACATCTACTAAATTTTTTAGTTAAAAACATCTCCACAGAGGAAAAACTACAAGCCCAGATGACTTCCATGGTGAGCTCTATTAAACAATTTAAGAAAAAATACTACCAACTCTATACTACTTTATAACTCATTCTATGAGGCCAGCATTACCTTGATACTAAAACCAAAGACATTAAAGAAAACAAACAATACCCCTCATGAATATAGATGCAAAAATTATAAACAAAATTTCAGCAAATATAGTCAAATAATATATAAAAAGGATAATACATCATGACCAAGCAATTCATGGTTGCTTTAACATTTTAAAATTAGTCAATGCAATTCGTCATATGAACAAACTAGAAAAGTATGTGATCTTTTCAATAGATGAAGAAAAAAAATTTGAAAAAAACTAACATTCATTCCTAACAACAACTCTCAGTCAACTAGGAACAGATAGAAAGATCCTCAACCTGATAAACAGCATCTACATAAAACTACAGCCAATGTGATACTTAACAGAAAAACAGTTAATACTTTTGCTCAAAAATTAGCAACAAGACAATGTCAGCTGTCACCACTTCTATTCAATATTGCACTGGAGGCTCTAACCAGTGCAATAAGATCTAAATAAATAAATAAGACATTCAGATTGGAAAGGCACAGGTGACACAGTCTTTATTGACAGATAACATAACCATCTATGTAGAAAATCAAATGAAATCTACCAAAAAAGCTAATAAAGTTAATATAATAAGTGAATTTAGTAAAGTTGCAGGACATAAGATCAATGTGTAAAGTTCAATAGCATGTCTATATACTAGCAATAAGCAATCAGAAATTTAAATTTTAAAGGAATACAATTTACAACGCATTAAAAATATGGAATATTTAGAAATATGACAAAATGTGAAATATCTGTACACTAAAAACTGCAAAAACAATGCTGAGATAAAAAAAGACCTATATAAATGGAGAAAGGTAAGATGCTCATAATTCAAAAGATTCAATACTATTAAATGTAAGCGATACCCAAATTAATGTATATATTAAACACTAAGAAGTCTCATTTAAAATCAATGCAGGCTTTCTTTTTGTAGAAATTGAAACTATATAAAATTCATATGAAAATGCATAGGACCTAGAGTAACCAAAGCAACTTTGAAAAAGAATGAAGTTAGAGTACTAACACCACCTGATTTTAAAACTTGTCAAGCTACAGTAATCAAAACATTGGTACTGGTGTAAAGATAGACACATGGATTAATAACACAGTATAGAGTCCAAGAATAGACCCATACATATGTGGAAAACTGAATTTTGACCAAGGTACAAAGGCAATTTAGTGGAACAGGATAGAGTTCAACAAATGGTACTAGAACAACTGAATATCTACATGCAAGAAACCTCTTGAATCTACACCCTGTACCTTATACAAAAATTAACCCCAAAAGGATTACATCTTCTAGAACAAAACACATGAGATAGCTCTTCTTTCCTTGGGTTACACATGATACAAAAGTATAATCCATAAAAGACTAAACTGATAAATTGGACATCATCTAAATTAAAAGTATCTGCTCATCAAAAAACACTGCTAAAAGAATGAAAAGACAATCTAGAGAGAGAAAAGTAACTTCCCAGTCTGATAAAGCATCTGTATCAAGGATAAAGAACTCTCAAATCTCAATAATAAGAAAACAACCTAATTTTTAAAATGAGACCTGTACCAAAGAAGGTATACAAATGGCAAATAAGCACATGAATAACTCAACATCTTTAGCCAATAGAGAGATGCAAATTAAAACCACAATGAAATACAACTATGTAACTGTTCAAATTAAAGAGTGACCATATCAAATGTTGGGGAGGGTGGAAGAACTGGAACTCTTATTTGTGGAAAGATAAAACTGCATAATCATTTTGCAAAAAAGCGTTTGGCACTGCATCAACATCCTAAATACACACCTACCATATGGTTAAACCATTCTGCTCCTAGATATTTATCCAATAAAAGTAACAGTATTTGTCCATATAAAGATATATACAAGAACATTCAAAGCACCTTTATTAGTAATAGCAAAAAAAAAAAAAATTGGAAAAAATCCAATGTCCCTCAACAGGTGAATGCACAAAGTGTAATATAGCCATACAATGGAATACACTACAATATGGATAAATCTTAATAAAATCATGCTGCACAAAGGGGATTAATTACAAAGGGATATGAAGAAATTTTTGGAGATGAAGGATATGTTCATTGATCTTGATTGTTGTGGTAATTTCATGGATGCACCAACATGTCAAAACTTATCATTGTATACTTTAAATATGTGCTGTTTATTGTATGTCACTTATAACCCAATAAAACTATTCAAAAGAGAAATAATTTCAGAGAGAACCTCTTTGGCCTCCCTTTTCCTCTGATGAAGAAACAATCACCATGGGTTCGGAGTATTCCTATACATTCTTGCAGGGCATGCCAGTAATGCAAGGCCCATGTTGTTCTTATATATGTAGCAAGCAACTGTGAGAGATATGGTAACATCTCTTGCAAACAACAGCAGACTTGCTTATGGCTCACTACAAAAGCTGTAGTTTCTCCAAGCTCAAGGTTCCTTACCTGCAATGCAAACTCATAGCATACGTACCATCCAGGTGGTATCTCTCCATAATATTTGGAGACTGGAGAATGGACAAACAATATACCCATGATCGTGCTTCTTGCTGTATTGTGAGTAAGAAAGTTCTTTTTCTCTAATCCAGGAGTCTCATGTCTTCTGACAACATTCATAAAACTATGGCAGGTTAGTTCTTTTTAAGTAAGATAAAATCTCAGATTCCTCAGTTTTTGAACTCTCCTAATCAAAATCATATTTCTTTGGTAATTCTCTGACAACAATCTGTTATTTGCTTTTTTGTATTTATCACAATTTCTAAACATAACTGAAGTAGGTTTCCCCTACTTGATTGCAAACTCCATGAGGGCAAGGATAATGTCTGTTTTCTTTAATGCACTTTTGGTACCCCAGCACAGTGCCTGAAATAGTAGAGGTTAAGTAAATATTTCTTGAATGATAAAACAAAGTAAGTTTTGTTTTTTAATGGATGGTATCAATTTCATAATCTTATCTATTTAGAACAAATCATTGTTGAGGGTTTCAGACAGCAAAACTTTTCCTATATCATCTCAGTAATGTGATTATTTAACTGTAAATTACTTAAATAAAATATATTTAAAGCTTACAAAAAAGTACTATATATTTAAATCTTGAAGCTAAGTGCTACTTTAATTTCTTTGATATGTAACTATAGTATCCACACTACCAATACAATTTGATTATAATCAATTATTTATTTGATAAATATTTATAGAGACTCTATTATACATTTTAATAATCTAACTCATCATTTGTAGATGAAAAATTATAGGTTACTAATTCCCAGTTACTTGGAAATTTATTATTCAGCTCATTCCTGTGTACAAACTATTATTTTTAAAATTAACCA